TCTTTTCTAAAAGCCAGGAGGGAGGGAGCAGATCTTACCTTATTTGGGAGTGTGTTCCATAGCCGGGGAGCCACAGCCGAGAAGGCCCTGTCTCTCGTCCCCGCCAGACACATTTGTGCTGTTGACGGGATTGAGAGCAGGGCCTCCCCGGATGATCTTAGATTACAAAGTGGGATGTAGGGATGGATGTGCTCAGACAAGTAAGTTGGGCCAGAACCGTATAGAGCTTTATAGATCAAAACCAGCATTTTGAATTGGGCTCGGAGATGGACCGGCAGCCATTGGAGCTGGCATAGCAGGGGGGTGGTATGATCCCTGTATGTTGCCCCGGTTAGTAATCTGGCTGCCATCCGTTAGTATGGCAGATATGGGTCTAGGATGCTTTATGTAAATTCTGTCAATGACTTACAAGATGACTAAATTTGAGATTTGGCAACGTCAGTAGGATGTGTGCAATTGCACAATTCATGTAGAAGAGGAAGTAGGTTTGCGTCCCACTATGCCAAAGACTAGGACATCCGTCAGTGAATTCAAAGGTCAAGAAAATAGGTTTTTTCCTAAATATTACGGAGAAATTCCTGATGGTTGCTGTTCAAAGGTGCATCGGAAAGTGGTGGATATCTTTCATTGAGGTTGGATGTCCATCCGTCAGGAGCTTTTTAGTTGTGTATTCCTGCATTGGCCGGGGGGGGGGGGCAGACTAGATGTCCCTTGTGTTCCCTACCAACTCCATGATTCTAAAACGCACAGGTAAATAGCTAAAGCAGGCAGCACAAAATTTACCATATTTCATTGCATATAGTTGCATTTTACCCCCCTCCTTTTTTAAAAAAAAATAAGATGCAACTATTATGTAAGAAAAAAAGAGCTACTTTTGTTCTCCAGTTTCTGTTGTTGTTTTTAAAAATAAAATGCCTTACCTCAGAAAAGGGATGAGTAGGAGGGATAATCCAGCCTCAAACAAATAGATCAATGCCTCTAGAACAATGCCTCTAGAACATAGATCAATGCCTCTAGAACATGGCCCTATAGCCCGAAAAAACCCACAAGAACATAGATCAATTTTTGTTTGTTTGGGGGTATTTTTAAATTGCAGAGCCATTTGGAGATGATCCTTCCTTCCCTCCCTCCCTCCGTCCATCTCTCCCTCTGAAGGCAAGGTAGTTAAAGAACTGCAAAATGTATGTATCTGAAGCTCCACTCTTCTCTCCTTCCTCCTTCCTCTAAGGCAAGGCAGTTTAACAAACCTGAAAAAGAGGTCTCTGGAATTCAGATCGTCCTTTGGATCATTTCCTCCTTTCTCCGAAGAATTCCTTTCCGAGTTTTATGAACTGTCTTGCCTCAGAAGAAGGAGGGAGGAGAGAAGAGTGGAGCTTCAGAGACCTCTGTTTTATGGTTTTTAAACTGCTTGCCTTTGGAGAAAAAAGGAAACAAGGGAAAATCAGCCTGAAATGGGGGTGCAACTGCTATGCAAAAAAACCAAAAACATTTTTGCGACTGTTATGCGTTGGTGACTATTAAATGACTAAATATGGGTAGTATTTTCCCTTTTTGAAGGAACTACAGATAGTGAAAGCAATACCATAGATCAGTTGTTACCAACCTTTTTTTTGACCAGTGACCACTTTGACCAGGGACCACTCTCCAACATTAGTTCCAAAAGGGTTACAAATCAGTTTTTGGTCAACTTTAGATGTGGTATGGTTAATTGGGGTGCTGATTCAGAAAATTGCATTGGATAAACCACATCAGCTCTAGTTTCTGATATAGAACATATGCTATCCAGTAGTCACAATCTGCTCGCCCACAGAAAACCATATTTAATAATCTAGAGCAGGGGTCCTCAAACTACGGCCCGAGGGCTGGATACGGCCCCCTAAGGTCATTTACCTGGCCCTCGCTCACAGTCAACCTAAGTCTGAAATGACTTGAAAGCACGCAACAACAACAACAACAAAATCCTATATCATCAGCCAAAGGCAGGCCCACACTTCCCACTGAAATACTAATAAGCTTATATTTGTTAAAATTGTTCTTCATTTTAATTATTGTATTGTTTTAAGTGTTTTTGCACTACAAAAAAATTTTTGCACTACAAGTAACATATGTGCAGTGTGCATAGGAATTCATTCATGTTTTTTTTCAAATTATAATTCGGCCCTCAAACAGTTTGAGGGACTGTGACCTGGCCCTCTGTTTAAAAAGTTTGAGGACCCCTGATCTAGAGCTGATATAGTCTATCTAATGTAATTTTCTGAATCAGCACCCCGAATAACCCCAGAAACAGGCCTGAAAACAAAGATGCCAAGGTGCCTCCACCTTCTGGTGCCACATGGAACGGCTCCACTCAGAGGGAGGAAGGAGGAGAAGCAGTCAGAAGACTTGTTGTTGGGCTTTTTGTCACCCTCTCCCCTCCCGATATCTCTGTTGCCTCGACACTATAAGAGGGTTTTGCAAGACCAATCTATCTTATTGCAACGGTGTAGTAATGGTGAGACCGCGGACCATATTTTAGTTCTTGGGGACCACTGGTGGTCCACGGACCACAGGTTGGGAACCATTGCAGAAGGAGCAAAGCACAGATTGGAGCCATTATTCCAAATTATTCTTTATATTACAACTCCTTGAATTTCCTAACATGGTTGGTTCCTTGGCAATACTTGGGAAGCTCTCTGTATTCTCATTTACTCTGGTTTTCTGTAGCGCTTTTGAGCTGCTTTAGCTTCAGTTAATTTGTCTTGCAAATGTAAAACCTGAATTGCCCAGTGCTCTTGTTTGCAGTATAAAATCAAACCATAATGATAAACAAGTAGGCATTAACATAAGTACCAAAGAACAGATAATACTCATTTGTGAAGCCATCCTTATGCAGTTATTATCAAGCCGCTATTAAAGATATGCAGCTTCCACATGACTGGATTCCACCAAGCATCGCTTATATAAGTGTACTTAGAGTCTTTGGCTATTCACATTCAAATTCTATTTGCACAAATTGCAGAGAACAGAAGTCATTAGTGAAGTTGGTGGTGATCTTCAAAGATAATACAAGTACCAATTTATGGTTCAGTACATATAAACTTTGTATAGATAATGACGGAAAACATGTAAATTAACAAAATCTCTGGAGTGTGGCAAAGAACATAAGTTGACAAAACCTGTATGTTGTGGGGGAGAGAATGCAAAGCTTTTCAGCATGAGCTACAAGAAAGCTACTTTTAAATTTATACTCCACCTTTCAAATTTAAAATAGTTAGCTGAAGTTGGCTAACTAAATGCAAAAATAAAATGAGAACTGAACATATTTCAACCAACATTAAAAGCATCCAGTTTAAAACATCCAGTTTAAAATCTCAGTTTAATAAAGGAAACCGAACAGTATCCATCAAATTAATACCCATTTTTTAAAATCGTGTCAGAAGCAACTTGAGAAACTGCAAGTCGTTTCTGGTGTGAGAGACTTGGCCGGTTGCAGAGATGTTGCCCAGCTGCAGAGATCCTGGGATGTAGGGCAGTGTAGAAGGGGCCTAAGATGTCATCAATTCTGCAACACACAGTAATTTCAGTACCAACAACAGGGGAAAAAAAGTTATATATATAGCACTAGCTGTCCCTTGCCATGCGTTGCTGTGGTCCAGTCTGGTGATCTGGAAAATAAAGTAATTAGAAAGTGTTGGTTTCTAATTYATGTAATTTCTTTATGCTTGTGGGTAAACAGTATTTCTTGCTGTTTCTTTGTCAGTGTTGATGTAGAGATTGTCTGGTTTGTCTACTCTGGAACATGCAACATATYGTCGTTCTTTAGGAGTCCCTTTCAGATCTATGATACTATATTTSTGTGTGTGTGTGAATCATATATATTTATCTATATCTATGGCTGGATGGATCTTTGTCAGGAGGACTTTGATGACGTTTTCTTGCCCTGATGAAGGGAGTTGGATTGGATGACCTTAAGTATTTTCTGTTGGTCACGGGGGTTCTGTGTGGGAAGTTYGCCCCGATTCTGTTGTTGGTGAGGTTCAGAATGCTCTTTGATTGTAGGTGAACTATAAATCCCAGTAACTACAACTCCCAAATGTCAAGGTCTATTTTCCCCAAACTCTATCTGTCTTCATATTTGGGCATATGGAATATTTGTGCCAAGTTTGGTCCAGATCCATCATTGTTTGAAGCTACAGTKCTCTCTGGATGTAAGTGAACTACARCTCCCAAACTCAAAGTCAATGCCCACCAAACCCTTCCAGATTTTGCTGTTGGTTGTGGGAGTCCTATATGCCAAGTTTGGTTCAATTCCATCATTGGTGGGGTTCAGAAGGCTCTTTGATTGTAGGTAAACTGTAAATCCCAGCAAGTACAACTCCCAAATGACATCATCAAAAATTTTTGAGTGATGGTCACTCCTTGGGTTAGTATGTGTCATGTGGCCAAATTTGGTGGTAATTCGCCCAGTGGTTTTTGAGTTATGTTAATCCCACAAACAAACATTACATTTTTATTTATATAGATGTGTGATTCTGAGAGAGCCATTTTTTGAAATGGTTATATGGAGGGAAAAATGTGTCTTAGAATCAACGAAGAACAGTAGTTTGCAGCCAGTGTGCAATACATATGTTTCGTGCTTTTTGAACTGACCAAAAAACCCCCACACATGTGAAGGTTAACTGTGCAGAGAAGGAAAATCACCCTTCCATATGATCTTGCAGGCAAGACAGCGTTGTAGAGTTGTCATTATAGTGAAACTTGGGATATGTTTATCAGTTCAGAAGCTAGCAGTTGGCTATCAGGTGTTTCAAGGGAATAAAAGGCAGAGCGGTATAGTTTGAAAGATGAATGGACACTGAAGACTTAACAATGGAAAGGTTCTCATTCTGCCTTCCCCTCCTTACTAGCATGCACAGGGTTAATGCAAATTTAGCAAACTTCCTGCCTCAGGAAGTTCTAACAGCTGTGCCGATCTAAAATATCATCCCTTACTTCCCTTCTCTTTTTTCTCTTTTTCACAGAACCATCTTCCCCTTTATGACGACGCCCTGTCTCTCCGACGCCCGGGTGCATCCCTCTTCAAACGGAGCACCATTCTCCGGTAAAGACCGCATAGGGACTGGGATTGGGTGACATTCTGTTCTCTGCAGGGACTTTTCTACAGTGGCACATCACTGGAACATCACTACAGTTTACGTAGTGTTAATTTAGGTAAACTTGGACCAGGTTTAGGAGACTGTCTCTAAACCTGGCCCAAGTTTCATAATCATTTATCAATAGTCGTTGATTTAATGTGTGTTCTGTTTTCATTCCTAGTGTCACATGCTATCTCCTGAATATTTAATGTACATGGAGTTATAGTTCAACTTTGATCTATTATGCTTGGGACTTGAAAACAGTAAATAAGAATAAACAATGGATTTAATATAGCAACTACAGGAAAAGAGAAGTTGCTATTATGGGGATAAGAATATCTTTGAGTGCCTTTGTACTGTAGAACTTGCTTACTTATTTACTTAGGCGATCCCTCGTAGTCCGAGGACGATGATCCTCCAAGTGTAGTATCCTGGCGGTGGGTCCGTAGGTGACTGTGGAGCCCTATTCTTGATCTGCATCTTCTTCCACAATGAGGGCATCGCTTTCCAGGTTGAAGGCGGTCCCAGTCATGGTTGGCTTGACACGCTTTCCTCTTGGCACGTTTCTCTCTTTCGCCCTCCACTCGTGCCTCCTCAAATTCTGCAGCTCTGCTGGTCACAGCTGATCTCCAACTTGAGCACTCAAGGGCCAGGGCTTCCCAGGGCTATAGAACTATATATTTATTTATTTATTTACTTCATTTGTATACCGCTCTTCTCAGCCCTCAGGCGACTAGAACTAACACAGTTTGACATGGTTTTAGCTGCAATCGATCAAGCTATGGAATAATGAGAATTGTATTTTACAAGATCTTTAGCCTTCTTTACCAAAGAGTTGGTACTTCAACAAACATTCATTTTGCCTCTGTGTCCTTTGGTCTAGGAGTATCTCAGTGCCAGCTGATCCAACCCCAGCAACACTTCCAGAACTGCCACCAAAACTCATCAGAGGCATGGGAGATACCTATGCAGTAGTGAACAAAGCCAGGCGAAGTGGAGCAGGGGCGTCTCCCAACTCTCCTCCCACTGAGGCCAAGCTTAAAGCAGAGGGACCCCTATATGCCACTGTGAAGCCAAAGAACAGCAGTGCAGGTGACATCGCCCCAACGATTGACCCCAGTGGCTTTGTGGGAATACAAGCCAGCCAGTCCCTGCCAGGGAGCCCCGTAAGACGTCCACCTTCCACCGTGGTCTGTGAATATGCCCAAGTGAATTCATCAGTTTCAGGTAATGTATGAAAATACCTAGTGTCATGTGTTTATTTTAGGAATCCATATAATTCTATTACTGTTGTTATTGATGTGCAAACATTAAGATATTGTATCAAAATAGGAGAGTGCTGAAAGTGACAGTACTTGCAATATGTCACATTAGGTGATGACGCCTCTCTAATTCCTAAATTCCTAGGCACAGTCCGACTCATTGGTTGGCACAAGTTCCAGACAGTTACATCTGATAGACTATGAAACTGAGCATAATTTTAAAAAGGTAAAGGTTTCCCATTGACAAAAGTCTAGTCGTGTCCGACTCTGGAAGGTGGTGCTCATCTCCATTTCTAAGCCGAAGAGCTGGCATTGTCCGTAGATACCTCCAAGGTCATGTGGCTAGCATGACTGTATGGAGCACCGTTACCTTCCCACTGAATTGATCTACTCACATATACATGTTTTCAAACTGCTATGTTGACAGAAGCTGGGGATAATGACGAAAGCTCACCCCACTCTCTGGATTCGAACTGTGAACCTTTTGGTCAGCCAGTTCAGCAGCTCAGTGGTTTAACCAGCAGTGCCATCATTGCCATAGTTACCATTATTTTAAATTATTCTAAATTATTATAATTTTGATATAACTACCTATGTGCTAACAAGATTTCAGTTTTAGCTTCTTCATACACAGTAGGGGAGAAGGCACAGAGCTGGTCTAGAGCAGGGGTCCTCAAACTAAGGCCCGGGGGCCGGATACGGCCCTCCGAGATCATTTACCCGGCCCTCGTTCAGGGTCAACCTAGGTCTGAAATGACTTGAAAGCACATAACAACAACAACAACAACAACAATCCTGTCTCATCAGCCAAAAGCAGGCCCACACTTCCCACTGAAATACTAATAAGTTGATATTTGTTAAAATTGTTCTTCATGTTAATTATTGTACATTTTAAGTGTTTTTGTACTACAAATAAGATATGTTTTAAAATGATTTCAAATTTTATTATATGATTTTAATTGTTTGTACATTGTATATTATGTGTTTTTTAAAAAATGGGAAGCTGCCTTGTTTTCCACTCTCGCAGAAAGGTGGTAGAAGTAAAATAAATAGATAAATATTTTATGAGTAAAACAAATGAAAAGAGCCACAGGGAAGCACCAAATTCTCAAGGTATCATGTCTTGATACAAGTCCACAGCCTTTCCTGGAAACAAATCTAACACAATTTGAAAGGTTTTCTGTTCCTGGTTTGACAGTGTCATTTCCTGTACACTTGTATGGTACTTGAAAGCAGGCAGTTATATTCCAGAAACTTCCTTTTTGTGGTTGCCACAAACTATGTTGAATCGGCTGAGACTCTATGAGCTATTCATTGAGAAACTATAGCAAAACGTCCTGCAGGATGTCCCTCCCGAAAAAACAAAGTTTTGGCAATTTAAAAAACCCTTTCCATGTTTTTATGATAGTATCAATTAGGAAATGACATTTATAACTCAGAACAAAAATTGTGTTACATGGTGTAATCTAACCACAGTAGTCCAGATATAGGTAACCTTCCAATTAGAGTATGGTAATGTTCTTTACTTGGAGCTGTCCTTGATGACATCTTGGAAAGCACAGCTAGTGCATCAGCTTGATTGTTGACTGGAATATCATATAGACATTCCCACTTGCAACTCCTTTCCATCTGATTTTTTTTTTGCATGATCCCAGATACATAGATATATGACATAATAGGCAAAAAAATCATGCATTTACTGACAACAAATCTGCATTTGCAAGGCTTACTAAATAGGCTTGAACACCTTGTAAACACTGCAGAACAGATTTGTTTAAATGTCTAAAACAGTTACTAAGTGATGTTCAGAAAACTTTTGTTGCTGCCAAATTTTTCAAGACCCCAACATTGAGCTATGCGGATTCCATTTAGGATCAGGACTCACAGTTTTAATTAGCAGTGATATAGACAACATGTAAAGCAGGTCTTTGGCTGCCAAATATATTGCATTGGCTGCCAAAGACCTACAATATTTCCAATCTGGATTCAAGGTGCTTTTGATTGCATTTGAAGCCCTAAATGGCTTGGAACCTTGGTCTTTGAGGGAAGACCTCTCCCTCTAGTTGGTTCCTTGAAGTTTGAGCTCTGCAAGGGCCAAGACTGGGAAATGCACTTCCATGTCCCACCAATGACATCAGTATACTGTTGTTGGGACATTGGAAAGGGGCTTCTAAGCCATGGCACCTAGTATCATGGAGTTGGAAGAGACGACATGGGCCATCCCGTCCAACCACCTGCAATGCAGATGCACAATCAAAGCACTCCTGACAGATGGCCATCCAGCTTCTGTTTTAAGCCTCTAAAGAAGGAGCCTTCACCACACTCTGGGGCAGAGAGTTCCAGTGTTGAACAGCTCTTACAGTCAGGAAGTTCTTCCTAATGTTCAGGTAGAATCTCCTTTCCTGTAATTTAGGGTGGGGTGTAAATATTTTAACAAATCAATAAATAATGTCTGATATTACCTATCTCGGTCTGTCCTGTGTTATTATTAAAGCTGAGTCCATGTTGCGAGGGGTGATGCAATGTGTATGAACAGCTTAGAAAGCCCCTATCTGGATGGAACTGGTAGATTATTTGATTTATCTGTTTTTCTTTGCTCTCCAGGGGATTCCAGTTCCAGAGCCACTTCATCCCCGTCTCATTCTAATGGATTTGGGAAAAGCCTTTTGAAGAATTTGAGACCCCCGGTACATATTTTATGTTTCCACCAGAGCTTCCAAAACACAAGATGCTAGTGAATACTGTATTTTTAACAAAAATTGTGGGCTGGGAAGACAGATAATACTACCTCACAGATGTTTGGGACTGTATTTCCTATCAGCCTTAGTCAGGATTGACAGAGACGCTGAGAGTTGTAGTCCAACATCTGATTCGCTGACTAGTGGCTTGCATTTGATGCTAAAAAACTTGGACTCATTTCAAATTCTAATTCATTTTTAGCTTTTGATTATTCATCTTTCTCGTCTGCAGATCAGATACTGGCCAACTTGCAGCGTATTGTGAATGCATTAAATATAGCAAAGCACTTCACTAGTTAATAGCTCCAATCTAGTATTATTTCTGGAGCACAACTCACAGGTTGGGCCTCTTTCCAAACAACATGATGGAAGCTCTTTCCTTGCATCTTTTAGAGGCTAGGTCCCAATCTGTCGGGGATGCTTTGATTGTGCTTTTCTTCATGGCAGGGGGTTGGACTAGATGGCCTATGAGATGTCTTTCAAGCCTATTCTAAGCAGCAATCAAGGAAATGTCAGACTTCAGCTCTGGCCTATTCCAGTATCAGGATGGGGACAAAAAGTTAAGCTGTGCAAGAAAACAATGTTACAACATTTTTTTTATCGTGTTAGGAGCAACTTGAGAAACTGCAAGTCACTTCTAGTGTGAGAGAATTGGCTGTCTGCAAAGATGCTGCCCAGGGGATGCCCAGATGTGTTACCATCCTGTGGGAGGCTTCTCTCATGTCCCCGCATAGTTACAACAATGTTGCATTGAGTGAATTCAGTGCAAACAATAAAAAAAAAAACCTTCAGAACGTGAATTAGAAAAACAAACTAAAGTTACAAATCCAGCCACTATGGGAGACAAGCATGAATGTAGAAATGATCCAGTAAACTTCATAATACTGACAGATGCCATATAAAATTTCCAGAAGATCTGTTGCAAAGGAAACTGGACATGGACTGCTGAGTACTTGCATTTTAGTTCCTGGAAATGAAGTGGAGATGGCTCGGGAAAAGGGGAATTATATGCTTTGGTCCTCCAGGTCTTTTGGTCTTCAGCTCCCATAATTCCTAACAGCTGATAAGCTATACGGGATTTCAGGGAATTGAAGTCCAAAACACCCGGAGGATCAAAGGTTGGGAGCCACTGTCCTAGACTGACAGATCATGCCTGTCCCCATTTTAGATCCTAGCGATTAAGAAGAAGTAACACATAAGCATTTTTTAAAATCAAAATGTTTTCCCTTCTCTGTAGGTATTCACGAATCCTGGAAAGAAAGGTAAGAAGCCCAAAGGCTGATCTTACATAAGTGGTCTGTCTTTTCAGCAAAGTAAGGCTAGGCTTATATTACAGAAGATCCCAATAGATGAGCATTCAATTTGGATTCCAAGGTGCTTCTCCCCTGATCTCCATGAACAACGCCCATCTTCCGCCTCATTCCTCTCGGACGTGGTTTTGTACCAGAGGTCACAATTTGGGGATGGGTCTTTTTTCATGTCCAGGTTATTAGTGTATGATCAGGGCTTTTAGTTTTTTCTTTATTTTGTGGATTAAGAAATATAGGAACCAACTTCCTCTTTGTTACTCAACAGCTCCACCATCCCCGCGAATTGTCAACACACAAGCATATGAAGATGTGAGTGACACCACGCCAAGAGTCAGCACAAATTCTGTGGCACCATCCCCCAATGCAATGGGTGAGTTAGAGCTCAGATACTAGCACAGCCCAACGAAAACATTCTTTATGTCTTGGTTTTTAGGGCTGTTCCTGGGGTTATTTTATTTGAGGCTCTGATTTGAATAGATTGCATCATGATCTTGATCATGGTTATCATGATTTTCTATGGGTGAGCCGATTTTTTTTTTTTTTTGGTCGAGTCAGGAGCGACTTGAGAAACTGCAAGTCGCTTCTGGTGTGAGAGAATTGGCTGTCTGCAAGGACGTTGCCCAGGGGACGCCTGGATGTTTTGATGTTTTTACCATCCTTGTGGTATCTGTAACTGACTTGAAGACAGACAGGTCGCAGGTTCGAATCCGGGGAGAGGCGGATGAGCTCCCTCTATCAGCTCCAGCTCCTCATATGGGGACATGAGAGAAGCCTCCCACAAGGATGATAAAAACATCATATCATCCAGGCGTCCCCTGGGCAACATCCTTGCAGACGACCAATTCTTTCACACCAGGAGTCACCAGGAGTCACTCCTTTTTTTTTAAAGTAATATAGTTGGTTTACTCACAAAACATCATGTATACAGCATACCGGCACTTTACGTATTAATCCAGTTACAATAGGATTTTAAGTAGATTTTCTGTGTATGTAATACAGGGCATCTTCCTTAGAAACAATAGTTCTTAGCCCATTGGAGTCTGCAAGCAAACATCCTACTGAAGCCTAAACTGTATAACTGTACTCACTGCTTCTGATACAAATGAATGGCTTCTACTCTAAGACTCTAATGGCAAACACTGTTCTAAAATGGAGCCATAGTCCTGAACGTGTCTAGATCTGATCACATGGTCTGCAGCCCTTCCCACAACAAAGAGGACAAGTAAAATCTAAAACAAATACACACATTCAATACAGTAAGCAATTCTATACATAAGAAATAACTAGTGGAGGATTGAGAAGGTTGCAATTTCTAACAGATGTTTATGTAGGAAAAGAAGTGAATGTTAGATCTTAAGAAATACTGTTGTACTTCGAGGATTTGTTTTTGATTTTTGTAGTCTATGACTACAAGGATTTCTTTCCTGGAAACTTGCAACAGACATACACTCCACAGAAAAGACTGGTCCACAGATCACTACTTTGAGTCATTATTTTACTAATCCTAGCAGCAGAGAAAACAATTTTCAACCATTTCTGTTACACATTTTTAGTATCTCCTAATAGATAAACCAAATACCATTCAGAGAGTCTATAAATAGCATTGTCTTAGACTAGAAATAGTCTTTTCAAAAAGAAAGCATGGCTTTCCATGAAGGGAAGGTTTTCTAGACTGGAAACTAGAGATGCCTCCTGTGCCTTAAATACTTGTATCTAAGAAGGTTTTTTTTTTTTTTATTGAGAAAGAAAAATAATAACATATTTGAACAGATAATACTTGTCTATTGTAGGCATACATTATAGTGACATATTTCAATATTATCTATTCACATTCTTTACAAGTTTATTCATATTACATTTTTATTATTATTATTATTATTTTCTTCTTTCTGACACGACAAAAAAAAGAAGTAGTGGCAAACAAGAGAAGGTGTGCCTTTAAAAGAAGCACCTCTTCTAGGCCAAAGGCGAGAAGCATCTGACCTTCCAGATATTATTGAGACTGTCAATCCCAGCAGTCCTAGGCTGCATAGTCAACTCTGAAGAATGCTGGGAGTTGCAGTCCAGCAGCATCTAGAGGGCTACCACTCACACTGGCTTAGAGGGAGTACGAGAGAAAAGTCAAGAAGGAAAAATAGCCTATGTGTATACAGGGATGGCTGCTGCTGGGTTGACATTCCCATTACCTTTAGGCAGGATCGCCAGATCCAGAAGTTATGGAGGGTTACTAGTGGCCCACATTTGATGCAGAGTAAAAAAAACATAATCAAAAGAAGTGGAGAGCAGTATTGATAATAATAGAACAGATGCACGTATATCAGAAATCTGCAGAGCAGATGCCCATGAATGTATAGAACTGGCCATGAATGTATAGAAAATCAAAGGTAGCAACTGAACCAGAATCCTTGCTCTGGCCATTGTGAAAGGGGTGGCGTGGAGTGCCTCGAAATCAGGGCAAATCATAGAAGGAAGTGACAGTGGAGGGAAATCATGCTGTTCCCCTCTTTCCTGCACAGGATTCAACTTGCGCATTGGGAAGCCCAAAGGACCAAGAGAGCCTCCTGCTGAGTGGAGCCGAGTGTAGGCGGCACTTCCGATACATAGACAGCTTTCTGCTGTGGAACCATCCAGAGGGGCCCAAGCTGCTGTTGATTCACAAAACCAGGAAACTGTCCTCAAGGGCCACACACTAAAAATGAAGCAGTTGCAAGCACTATACTCCAGGATATTTCACAGCCAGAAGAGAAGAACTGCCGGGAGTAGGAGAAGCTATAAACTCCTAAGGAAGATCTTCAGCAGTTCTGTGGGCCAGGAATGAAGCTGGATTGAAGGCCTTCAGCTCCAAGAACACTTAAGCCCATCACTGTATGTGCTCAGGGTCTGAATTCAACAAAACAGAATCATTTCTGTAGTTGTGGTCTAACCAACAGACATAGAACCAAGTCTAGTTCCCTCCTTTCTTTCTGCTCTCATTGTTTTAGAAATCCCACATGGGAGACAACTAGTAGACAGATTGTTAACAGCTTTGAGACTTTTCTCAGCCTGGAGAAACATTTAAGTCCTACCAAATACACTTGTGCAATCCTCACATCTCAAGTCGACTCATCTTAAAATGCAGGATGAGACAAAAGCCCTACCTTCGAACTAGTGGACAGCTTTTTGTAATCTGAGTTTTCATCCAAATCTCCCTATTGAATATTTTAGGATTAGAAGCTTATTTTCCCCAAAACTAAAACTCTTGCAGGAGAAAGGAGGCAACATGCCGAGCCTTTGCTTCCTCTCAAGTTGAGATGGCCAAATCTATGGCACTTTGAAACACATTTGGTCAACACAAGAGGTGACCTTGGAATTTAACTCTTCTGAAAGAAGGAACTGGAAGGGGGGAAAAAACTGGAGCTAACACAAGGATTTATTGTATCAAAAGGTTTGCAAAGATCAAGAAGGAGAACTTTATCTCTCACGTGTCACTGCTTTATCACATATTCTCCATACAGTTGCATTATGGAGAATGCTTGGGCTGGTGCAAAGGTGTTAAAGGGCCCTGGGAATCCATTTCACAAAATCAGTTTTAGATACCATCTATTTCCATACAGCCAAGAAATGTTGACAAACCAGAAGACCCATGAGACATGAAGGTAATTGGAGCCATTGCGTTCCGCATGTTTTTACTAACTACAGTGAGCAAACGTTAATTCTAAGAGGTAAAAAAGGCAAATCCAAAGAGTCCAGGGAATATTGTTCTGTCAGTACATCACCGAATCTTGATGGAGATGAGGTAAGGCCAATGAGGGAAACGAAGAGGCATTTGGGATTCATGTAACTACTCGGTGCTGAGGAATTTTTGCTTCTTGGCCGTGCGGGTATACGGGTGCCAGCGCCACTCCACGTCAGCCGTATTCTCCTGCTCCAAGCTTCCCAATTTGATCATATATACTGTAATAAGAAAACAAAAGCTTCAGATAAGGACCAGGTCCTGTTCTTCACAGGCAGTGCACATACACTTTGGATTGGTTAAGATAAGTGATCAAACCCAGACAATATGTATTCAATTTGACAAGTAACATTTTCTTTGTGTTGTCGAATGGACGGAAACATTGGGTGGCTGTGAGTTTTCCGGGCTGTATGGCCATGTTCCAGAAGCATTCTCTCCTGACATTTCACCCACATCTATGGCAGGCATCCTCAGCAGTTGTGAGGTCTGTTTTGAAGCTGCAAGGTCGTTCAATGCTAATCAAGACAAAGTGAACCACCTAAACTGGGCTCTAGAGGCCAATGGAGATTCCACCACAGACATCAGAAGAGCTGCAAGACCGAGAACAAGCCATGAGAGTAAAGACAAAGATCCACCCAGAGAAAAAGTGTACTTGCCATACATCAAGGGAACCACTGACCACATAGGGAAGCTGATGAAGAAACACAACATACAAACAATCTACAGACCCACTGAGAAAATCCAACAAATGCGACATTCAGTGAAGGACAAGAGGGATCCTCTCACCTCTGGAGGAGTCTACTGTATACCATGCAGCTGTGGACGTCTACTTAGGGACCACCAAGCGTAGCATTGCCCAGACACGAATCAAGGAACATGAAAGACACTGCAGACCAATTCAACTAGAGAAGTCAGCCATAGAAGAGCACCTGATGAACCAACCTGGACATAGTATATTATTTGAGAACACAGTAATGCTCCCACAACCACCATGTCAGACTACACAAAGAAACCACTGTAATCCACAAGCACTGTAATCAACAGAAAGGAAGAAACCATGAAAATGAACAAAATCTGGCTACCAATATTAAAAATCTCTAAAATCATAACAGTAAATAAAGAACAAACTCAAACACAGGTGAACTCCAGACAAGAAACAATCAGGAACAGCTAATCACCTCTCAACAAAGGATTCCCCCAGGCAGGAACAAGCCACACCTTGAAAACTGCTAGGCCATTCAATGCTAACCAAGGTGGCCAATTGAAACATTCACACCTACCTCAAGCAGCCAAGAGTTCTTTCTCCCACCCTGGACTTTCCACAGATATAGAAACCCCACTTGTCTAGTTTCAACACACCTCACAACCTCTGAAGATGCCTGCCATAGATGTGGGCGAAACGTCAGGAGAGAACAGTATAAAGGTATAGTACAATATAGTAATACATAATACTAATAGTGTACTATATTACTTGTAAGGCGCTCTGAGTCCCCTTCGGGGTGAGAAGGGTGGCATATAAATGTCGTAAATAAATAAATACTTCTGGAACATGGCCATACAGTTCGCAAAACTCACAGCAACCCAATGATTTAAATGGTTTAATACAAAAGACTGAATCACTGGACATGAATCAGACTAAAAGAAAAATGTTAGAACATGTGACATAAAGGATTTTTTTTTCCTGAAGTGAGCCTATAAAATACATATTAACAGAATCCCCCCAAACAGGTATTTTTGGAAATTGGATTGCATTGCTTTGTTTAAAGGCAATTTGGAGCTGGGGGAAGGAAGTCATGCTTAGTCCCTTTTGCGTGGCATAGATGCTGACATGACCTCAAGGACAACCAGGTTTTCTATTTCTTAAAATGTCATAAGAAAACAAAACATGTGCATTTGTTTATGTAGAGAAAGTTAAGTGTTTTCACCATTTGTACCAAATGTGCTGTGGATATTTGTTTGTTTGTTTGTTTGTTTTAAAACTGACTCCTTGGTGCAATTTTGGCTGAATATCAGTCGTGAATTGTGCTTGTTTTGGTTTTAACAATAAAATATGACATTGTGAAAGAAAAAACAGAACAAATAGCATTTTTAAAGTAAAGGTTTCCCCTTGATATGAAGTTTAGTCGTGTCCGACTCTGGGGGGTGGTGCTCATCTCCATTTCTAAGCTGAAGAGCCAGTGTTGTCGGTAGACGCCTCCAAGATCATGTGGCCAGCATGACTGCATGGAGTGCTGTTACCTTCCTGCTGGAGCGGTACCTATTGAACTACTCACATTTGCATGTTTTCGAACTGCTAGGTTGGCAGAAGCTGAGGCTAGCAGTGGGAGCTCACCCTGCTCCCCGAATTTGAACCGCTGACCTTTTGGTCAGCAAGTTCAGCAGCTCTGCAGTTTAACCCGGTGTGTCACTGGGGGCTCCCCTGTACTCTTTAGTTGCAGGGAAAACAGATAGCTCCAGAAAGTTTAAGGAAAAGCCAAATTTCATCAGGATGGGAGTCCAGAGGACAATGCCAGTGCAGCGTGCCTTTAAGTCATTTTTTTATTTTAGGCAGCCCAAAGAACGTCAGTTAAGGTAGTTTTAAGACAGTCTTTCTCTTTTTCCGGGCTTTTTTAAAAATTAGGAAGATTTTTCCAAGCAGCCTTCTGATGAAGAAGCATCTGATGAAGAAAAGAAGCTGCCACATTCAAATACACATTGTAATGACGGCACCCCACTGGGGAGCCAAGAACACAGCTTATTAAAGCAGATGCAAAGCTCTACACCAAAGGAAGCTGAATTTAATTGCCTGTATAAATTAGGCAAATTCGGCATACACGCATAATTATTAAACATCAAGGGAGAGGGGCAAGGTGTTCTGCAGGAACCTGCAATGTGCATTGGGTCCAGAGCAATCTCTCCACTGATAGAAGGCAAGGCAAATGGTGTTCTTGCTGGAAGAAGGACTTTATCTATTTCTCCTTCTCCTTGCTCTCTTCCACCCTGTATCACCTCTCATGGGGCTTTCATAGTCAAAATACAAGAAGAAGAAAATCATCACAAACAGAACTCTCAATAACAGCTACTGTTTTATAATCTAGAGCTCAGAATAATTAATTTTGGATGACAACTCTCAGACTTTACCAGCCTGCATGGCTGCTGGTGGGGAGAGTCTGGGATTTTTTGTAATTTATTTTTTTGCTAGACTTCCTCTTTGATAACCTATGTTCCAGAAGATGTGGCTTACTTTTTATGTCAAAAGGCAAGTTTTCCAAATGCTGCCAACATTCGGAGTAGGATGGGCTGTTGAGCTTTCAGTTCTCTCTGCATTTGCTTTTTATCGTGTCAGAAGCAAATTGAGAATATACTGCAAGTCGCTTCTGGTGTGAGAGAATTGGCCAGGGGGCACCTGGATGTGTTACCATCCTGTGAGAGGCTTCTCTCATGTCCCTGCATGGGAAGCTGGGGCTGACAGATGGGAGCTCACCCCATCTCACGGATTCAAACTGCTGATCTTCAGGTCAGCAGTTCAGCTGGCACAAGGGTTTAACCCATGGTGCCACTGCGGCTCCTCTACATTTGCTGACTTCATGGAAATCACAGCAACAGAAGTCGTCCCATATATATTTAGGGAACGCAACAAGAGTACGGCTTACATTTCAACTGAGGTGGTATAAACTTCCTTTTACTACTTCAAAAATCAAGTGTGTGTGGTGGAGGAGGCCATATCAAAAATATACACACACAAATTGAAATCTCAGAAAATCCGCATATTTGGAAGTCCAGAAACCTTATTCAGGTGCTAGTTTTATTTACAAAATATTTTAATTGAAAGAAAGTCCCCCCATGTAACATCTTTCCCCCATTACTCATATTCCTGTAAGACTTTTTCCAAATCAGAAACATGGTTTTACTACTCATGTTGGAGACCCTAGTGGCGCAATAGGCTAAACCTTTGTGCCAGCAGGACTGCTGACCGAAAGGTTGGCAATTCGAATCTGAGGAGCGGGATGAGCTCCCATCTGTCAGCTCCAGCTTCTCATGCGGGGACATGACAGAAGCCTCCCACAGGATGGTAACACATCCGGGCATCCCCTGGACAACGTCCTTGCAGATGACCAATTCTCTCACACCAGAAGCGACTTGCAATTTCTCAAGTAGCTCCTGAGACATACAAAAAATTACATAAATTAAAAGAACTACCCATGTTACAATCAGGCCTCAGTCTATGGCTGAAGCAGTATGTCTGCGACAGAAATATTAGCAATTCACCAAATTGGGACTACAGTTACAGTCTTTTCTTTGCTGTCTAGGCCATCTGAGGTCTCACATTTTCCCAAGAAATTTCAGGAGAAGCAAAACATCTGTCCAATAAAACTCCCGTAATTCTTATCTGTAGTTTCAATTATCCACATTGGGAGAAAATGGCTCTCTAGGCAATTTTGAGGTATGTTTTCCTTAAAAGTTATCATCGTGTTGGAGAAACCCAGACAATTCCTGGTTCAACCAAAAACCATTAACTCACCTGAGGACTCTAGGAATATCTAGGTCCTCTAGGACTGGAAGTCAGGTAATTTAATGGTGTTTGGTTGTAATTGGGAATTCAGGTAACTGCTGCCTGGCCAGAAATATATCCCCTGCAGAAACAGGGGTCTGATAGTACAATTATGTTCATGCTGTTGACAAAATAGCTGAGGTTGGGAGATGAGTGGCGTGACTACGGCCCTTCAAGTTTGTGATGGAGGCAAGACTTCCTCTTTCTCAATTCATGTCGCTGTAGATGTTACTTACATTTCATTTCAAACCGCGGCCCAACTTCAGTGAGCTCCACGTTCCGGTGATCGGTTTTCTTGTAAACATGGTGCCTGTGCAGATTTTAAAAATAGCTACGATTAAGATAAGGTGTCGGTGCTGGGAGACACTGACAAACATCCTACAGACAAACATTTGTGGTTTCATGTGGGGCAATCTAGGAAGAGGTTTCACCACTTGAGCGAGCTGCTGACTATAAATCAGCCCCAGAAAAAGCCAAAACAGAAATGTAGACCTCTTCCTCTACCCCTTATTCAGAAAATATGGCAGAAAACTGCTTCCCACCAAAGAAATCTCTAAGACTAGAGTACATAAGTCCTAAACATCCTCCTGCCTGAAACGGCATGGAGGGCAGAGGCATCTTTTTCACTCAACTTCACTTAAAAGGCTAAATAGGCATCAGTACCGGAAAGAGATATAGTCCTCTTGGTTGGCAAAAGTGATGACTCGTTTGCTGTCCTCTTTTGGCACTGGAAACAAGTATTTCAGGATGCTGGTGACCTGAGAGAGATAGGGAAAAAGAAGAGGAAAGAGGGTTTTTTGCTTTGGTGATAGAAAATTAAATTCATTTGTAGAAATCTAAAAGAAAAACAGAGTAATGCAGATCTTCTAGTATTTTGGAGGTGGCTCTGTTATCCCTCCCTCTCCTGATTAGAAGCAGATGCAAAATTTGCAAGCACATTCCAGCACACAGAATTTAAGCATATAGACAGAAATACAATGACCTAAATGAATGAATGCAGATATATAGAAACATAGCCCCTCTATGGATATCACAATCCATGGATGCTCAAGTCCTATTATGATTAGGATGGTTAAAAAGGTGACCCTTATATAAATTGGCAAAATCAAGGTTTGCTTTTTGATTCCCCCCACCCCACCCCCGGTTGGGTTTTTAAACCATAGATGGTTGAATATGTGGATATTGAAGGCTGAGTGCAGATGCTTTTGTGAGCTCTGAGCCACAACACAGAATTTGGAAAAGCAAAGAATCTGAAGAATAACTGTGTTAATACAGACATCCATGTGGAAAGTAAACATTAGATTAAAATTGTAGCATAAACAAAATCCTCCAACTTGCCCACCCAGATAAAAAAGGATTTTTTACTTTCCTAGCTCCTGCATAGCAATCTACTGTTTACACTTGACAAGAAGTCGGTGTTATCACCAACACCTATCTTTAATGAAATGCCATATGAAGAATGGCATTATAGCTAGATGCGCTTTTTTCACTTTAGTTCTATCTTTCTTGTGTCCATCCATGTATGAGAATTCATGAACTTGACTGCAGTCAGCACAAGCTAAGGTTCTGTTGAACAGATTTTTGTTTTTGCTGCTACAGACGTAACTTCAAATCTGGTTTTATTTCTGAGCTCTTTTGTAGTCCAGCCCCACCTTGCCCACCCCACTTTCTTGCTAGATCCAGCTATGCCTTTTGGGGAGCTCCAAGCGCACCTTACCCGCTGTCCAAGTCGGGAAGTAAAGTTGTGAAAGATGAGGTGGGGGTGGGCCTCCGACATGGTGCCGATGTCCGGGATGTCGTGGCGCATGACCACGTTGCAGAGTGTGAAGTAAGCCGTGGGGCCAAAGGGCAAATGACTGACTATAAGCCCATCTGAGAAGTGAGAAAGTTGGAGAAGTTAGGCAAGTTGAGTCTCAATCCGGTTGGGCTACTCACCATAGTCAAGACCCCTAGCAGTAGATCAGCCTAGCTATGAAGGTTCAACCTGTTGCGGTGAAGGAAAGTCAAGTCCTGCTATGCCTAGGGACATGGATCAAAGCCATACCTTGGTCCATTGCCATCTACATGAACAGTGAGCAAAGTGCAGCCCTCCAAATGCTGTTGGATTGCCACTCCTAGCATTTCTTACAATCCTCTGTGCAGATGAAGGCTGCTAGAAATTACAGTCCAACCATATCAGAACCATACCTGGACCATACATACCACCTGATCTACATTATGCGTGGGAAGGCTTTGGTCCTTCAGAAGTTTTCAACATCAACTCTAAGAAGCTCTATATAGGCAAAGGTGAGGTATTGTGGGTGCTATAGTTCAAAATACCTGGAGGGCCAAAAGTTCCCATCCCTGTTCTACAATGGTTTTGAGTGTTTTCTGATCATACCTCAAAACACTGGGTATCAATTTAGGGAAAGGTCTCCATGCACAGTATGTGCTCTAGTGCTCAATCAACCCAGATTAAGCAGATTACAAGGAGTCATTATTAAAACAAAGGATATCCACATAAATGATTGCTATAAGAAAGCAGTTCCACGTCACCCAGACATGGGATTTTGGTCTGCAGGAATAGGAGTATACTGTCTTGATCCAGGGAAGTCATGCAACCCCTCTCTTCTGCTCAGACCACACCTGGAATACTGTGTCCAATTCTGGAGGTGCTGACAAGCTGGAATGTGCCCAGAGGAGGGCGACTAAAATAGTAAAGGGTCTGGGGGACAAGCCCTATGAGGAGTGGCTTAAACAGCTGGGCATTTTTAGCCTGCAAAAGAGAAGGCTGAGTGGAGACATGATGATGGCCATGTATAAATATGCGAGGGGAAGTCATAGGGTGAGAGGCATGCTCTCACGCTAGCTCTTAACGCAAATCTCAGCTCACATCTCAAAGCAAAAATAAACTGAGCGATGGCTCGGATCTCAAAAATCTCATAAGTTGGTTTACTTGTAAGTCAAGATTTCACTGTATAGGTCAGTGGTTCTCAACCTGTGGGTATTCAGGTGTTTTGGCCTACAACTGCCAGAAATCCCAGCCAGTTTACCAGCTGTTAGGATTTCAGGACTTGAAGGCCAAAACAACTGGGGACCCACAAGTTGAGAACCACTGGTATAGGTAATCTTTCTATCCAAGATGGATTTCATATGTTCTATGCTTTAAGCTCACCAGAGCATCCTGCATATTTTTCTGCAGTCATGCACTCCTGGCTATGCTGCAGTCTGCCTAACAGACACAGCAAACAATACCTAAAACATGGAGAGATGCTGAGAGGTGCAATCTGACAATACTTGGAGAGTAATACTTGCAGCCCCATTGGGGGTTGCATTCCTGTATGCTTGTTTGTCGTTATTGCTAAGGCCACACAATAAATAGGGTGTTGTTGGGTTTTTTTGCAAAAAGATTCAACTTTTGTGGTGTCCATCCTTGCCCTCCCTATTAGGAAGGGGGCTCCTGCTTTTTTGGGAAATGTTTTGGCTTCTTTTCCCCCACAAAGCTTGTCCACTTCCTAATCCTAGTCAAGCCACTTACCAGGTACCCCTCGGTGCTCGTGCACAATCAGCAGGTCGGTTACCCCATTGGACTTACAGGCACGAACCAAGGCACCCATCTCATGTCGGCCGCGGTTCATGCGCTGGGCTCCAGGGAAAACCAGCTTAATCTCCTAAAAATAGTGGAAGAAGGATGCTAGTGACACAGTAGTCTTGTTTAAACTATGGTCACTTGACTTGGGTAACAATGCCTAAGGCACAGTTTGGTTGAAGCATAATTCTCTAAACTGAAGGCTCTGTCCCTTAAAGTTCTACACTTTCATCTTGAAAGTCTCCTCTTTCAAATGAAGGAAGAGAAGGATTACAGTAAAGTCCCCATATTCACAAGGTATATATTCTCAGCTAGACTGTGGTTATTTGAAACCACAAATATGACCAAATGTCATTAAATTATCTGATACCCAGTCCCAGCATAACCATAGCGTCAACTATGGAAAACCCAGAAATTCCTAGAGGGATATACTCCAGGGCGACTTCATGATAACTTCCAGGGGAAGCATACTATAGAACAGGGGTCCTCAAACTATGGCCTGAGGGCCAGAAACAGCCCACCAAGGTCATTTACCCGGCCCTCGCTCAGGGTCAATCTAAGTCTGAAACAACTTGAAAGCACACAACAACAACAACAACAATCCAATCTCATCAGCCAAAAGCAGGCCCACACTTTCCATTGAAATATTAATACATTTATATTAGTTAAAATTGTTCTACATTTTAATTATTGTATTGTTTTAAGTGTTTTTTGCACTACAAATAAGATATGTGCAGTGTGCATAGGAATTCATTCATGCTTTTTTCAAATTATAATCTGGCCCTCCCAACAGTTTGAGGGACTGTGACCTGGCCCTTTATTTAAAAAGTTTGATGACCTCTGCTATAGAATCACAAGGAGGAGATAACAAATTGCTAGGGAAACCACTTTTTTTCTCAGGTGCAGTTATGTATGGAACTGTAGCTTTCTGGTGAAGAATTACAGATCTAAGGCATGGCCTAATTTACTGGCTTTACACAAAACCAGGAAATAAGGTCATGACAGGTGAAGTGAAACTGATGATATGGGTTTTTTGGATCTAATTGTACTATCGGGAATTTCTGTTATTAATCCTCCAGCAATAAGCCCTGAACTCTAGGAGAAAGTGAAACCTCGAGCAGATCTCCAGCCTAGCCTCCCAAGTTATGCCAGGCATAAGTGAGTTGGTGGGAAACAGAAGGAAAATGCCATGATCCTTCTACGGAAAATGTATGAACTCTTCCACCAAATGAATGATTGTAAAGAATGCTTATACAATCCCAAACGCTGCCACCATTTCTTACAACTCTGTTGTTCAATGCTGCTATGGGACTATTTCACATAGAGGCACTCTAGAGACAGTTGTAGTTTAACAAAGAAACAAAGTTGTTTATTTGTTAGAACTTTGACAAAACAGGCACTTAAGCTTAACGATTGCAGTAATGAGTAAAAGCATGTGGTTACTTTAAAGAACAGTGCAAGGCTTAGTTTCAACAATAACACTCCACTTCATCAGTCTTCCCTCTGACTAGACTTCCTTAAACTCCAGACAGTCCTTTCCTGTGGATCTGTCTATTCTCTAGACTAGCTGTTCTCCCTAATAGCTATCTATCTATACTAACTGACCAACTCCTGGCTTCACTAACCCTTCTTCTTCAAATACTCCCAAAAACCTAACTCTTCAGACACCAGTCCCTGACTCATCAAACCCTAACTGAGCTGTCAGATTTTAAAATGCGCCTACTTCAAGACTTTTTTTCTCTTCCCTCCAGCTAAGCTCCACCCACTCTCTCCCAGCCAATTACACAACTTCCCACATTCCCTCTAGGTTGCTCCTAAGCTCCGCCCCCTCTAGGAACTGGGTGCTCTACGATGGCTGCCTCCTTGCACCATCTCCTTAAAATGGCTGCTGAACTTCCTGGGCCTACTTCCTGGGCTTTCCCTGGCCTAGAAAGATAGGGAAATCATCATAATGATCCCATCCACACCTCCCACTGAAAAAGAATGGGGAAAATGGCTTTTTGCTTACTTTGGCAAACATCTTGAGACGAGAGCTGGGGTCACGAGAAGTGGTAACCATAATGCGGGGATCCTCCACACCAGCCCAGCGGTACTCATCATCCACATGGCTCGTCACTCCTGCCGTGGCAACAGAGAAGTTACAAATTTACCTTGACATACCCTCTAAACTTATTGTAAAAACAACCCCGATACCCACCCAATGCACTTAGCTGAAATCTGTCATGACACTGGAAACAGAATTTGGGCTGGGAGAAAATTATAGTCATTTAACACTCACACATTCACACAGGGAGAAAACAAGATACCAGAGCTCAAGATTGCCAGAAACGACTACCTCCAGCCTGATCAAAATAATAGGATAGCATCAATTGTGTGGTTAATCAATGATAGAGAAAAAATAAATTTCGAACCATGGTTAGGGCACCTTTATCAGACTTTTCATGTTCCAAAGTCAACCCTTACCATTTCAAGTCAAGCTCCAGAATGATGACTGCAGCAAGTAAGAGGAAAGAGATGCATTACCCTTTGGTGACATATATGTCATGTTTGAAGGCAGATATTTTAAAAGATAGATATGGCATTACAGTGTTTATTTTCAGATATCTTAAAAAATCAGAACTGAGGAGAGACTAGATATGGGTTTGAATAGTTTAAGCTATGGACCGTTTCAAATGCTGTGATCACCCGAGAAAACTTTGAATTATGTCTAGGATACAGTAAGTTGAAAACAGCAACAATCAAAACCACCAACTCTTACATACTTCTTGGTCTGCCATGTTCTAAAAATACGAATGGATGGCCAGAAAAAGTAGTAACTCTTGTACACTCATTTGAACTTTAGGAATAATCTTGGATTCATTGAGAAGGAGCTTTGAACAATTTTCTGCAGCATTCTGGTTGCCACAGTCCAAAAAAAGTATCTTTTCAAGGCTTTGCTCCAAGACCTGGATGCCTAGATTTCAGCAGTAGCTAGATATGCTTTTGCCCAAATACATCAGTTCCTGAGGGTGTCATCTGGCCACCATGACATATATCTTAGTTGCATCTTATCTGAACTCCTACAATATGTTTTTGTAGGGGGATACCTTTGAACAATGTATAGAAGGCTCAGCAACTTCAGAAAGCTCCAGTCAAGCTGCTCATCAGGTCCTGCTATTAAGGATGGTGTGTGTTTCCAACAATTTCACTCACAGTTAGACGGTTTCCTGATACAATTCAAAGTGCCTCTAATAACTATGCAAATCTCCGTTGAAGAGGCTTATCTATTCTCCTTGTTGAAGGCCATCTGCTAGCAAATAATAAAATTGTTTTAAATGGGCATTTGATTTAGAGAGCTATTTTCCCATCTGCTGTTCTGTGACTTACTTTCTACTTCAATTATATTTTCTATTTTGATGCTATTGTCATTAGTTTACTATTTGTTGTATGGGGTTGATTTTGCCGTCTTTCAGTTCCTTTGCTGCCATTTTGTCTTTCAGCCATGATGAGTAATTTGTGTGTGTGTGTGTGTCAGGAGCAACTTGAGAAACTGCAAGTCACTTCTGGTGTGAGAGAATTGGCCATGTGCAAGGATGTTGCCCAGGCACACCGGGATGTTTGATGTTTTACCATCCTGTGGGAGGCTTCTCTCATGTCCCTGCATGAGAAGCTGGAGCTGGCAGATGGAAGCTCACCCTACTCCCCAGATTCGAAGCGCTGACCTTTCAGTCAGCAGTCCTGCTGGCACAAGGTAAACCTATGATGAGTAATGGATGTAGGCTAAAGATGCCACACTCACTGGCATCATTTCCGACTAAGTGGTTTTCAGTCCAGTCATTTTGCTGAAGCCAATAATTTACCTTCGCCACCTCCATCATCAAATTCAAGCTCCTTCTGAAGTGCAAGAGCCTCCTTCCGCAATTCTGTGGGGATGAGGCAGTTCTCTGGAAGGAAAAATGAAAGGGGAGTTAGAGAAAACAAAGAGGGCAGTTGTCACTCCACTTCCCTGCCAGGGCCATGCTTGACCATCATCACTGCCATCAATGGTATTAGTGAGGGTTTATTAAACATTTTCCACTCACAACCCCTTTTCCAACCAAGAAATATTTAAGTGACCCCAGGTATAAAAATCAAACATTTGCTGATAACATACTAGAATTTGCAAGGCTTGCTAAGCAGGCTGATTTTCTTTTTTTTGTGTTGTACAGCGGAGGCATCTTCTGCAGAGTTCACTGTAATCACTGCACATCGTTGCTAACAGATTTTGCAAAAGGATGGCCTTTAGAAAGCTTTTACTGATGCCAAATTTTTCATGACCCCAAAACTGAACTAAGATGATCCCATTTGGGGTCAGGACCCACAGTTTCAGAAGTGGTGGCATAGTGCAGGAAAATGCAAGGCCTCCATCATTTGACGTTCAAAATGTATTTATTTATCTCACCCATCTTTTCTCAAACAGCTAAACAGGAAAAAGTAATATAATAATTACAATACAATCATATTGGCTGGGGGGAATGAGCATGTAATAACAAGAGAAAAGGCTTCCTTCTTTTCAAAGTTCTCCCTCTTTCTGCTTCATGTCGTTAATTCCAGAGATAACTCATTTGGGGACTGAAAAGATTTAGTCCAAATGGTGCCTCATCCTAAATGCATTTTGGAAAATACAAGCCAGGAGGTAATACCATCTAGTGCTTTCTTGATTTTTTCCTTCTTTTCCTGGAGAGTCTTCAGTCTCTCCTCTTGGGCTTTCCGGTAGAGGTACTCTCGCCTCTGGCGGGCTTCCCGGCGCAGCTATAAAAAACACAAAGGCATGAACAGAAAGGCAACAATTCCTCTACATTTCCTCAAAAAAATATTCCCAGAGGGATAAGGATGGGTCTGTCCCTGAAACAGCTACCAAGGGCCTTGAAAACATATTTCTTAAATTTGAATACATCTAGTCTCAACTTAATTGAAATTAAGCCCGTATTCCCCATGACCCTCAAACAGATGATACTTAATGCTAGTGGATTTACATTGAGTCAAAAGACATGACACTAATTTATGTGGATTTAACTGTGCATATGATTGTAGTAAGTTCAAATTTCAAAACAAGGGGAAAGATTGCATGTGTAAGAATCCAAACCAACCCAGACACAGATACCTGAAATGTGACTAATTGCTTTCATTCTCAGGCTACAAAGTCAGTCAGTAGTAGTCATTGCTAGAATATCACTAAGAGAGCATCTGATGGAAGCTAGTCCAGTGCTGCACAAGGTGGTTGTCTGTAGACCAGTGCTGCTCCAGGAGCCATCAGCTGCCAAGGAAGGAAGAGACTGTACCCAAGGGGCATAAATATGGTACTGGTCAATAGGAGCCCCTGGTGGCGCAATTTGTGCGAGCTGAACTGCTGACCTGAAGGTTGGCAGTTTGAATCTGGGGAATGGGTGAGCTCCCATCTGTCAGCTCCAGCTCCCCATGTGAGACATGAGAGAAGCCTCCCACAGGATGGTAAAACATCTGGGCGTTCCCTGGGCAACATCCTGGCATATGGTCAATTCTCTCACACCAGAAGCAACTTGCAGTTTCTCAAGTAACTTCTAACACGAAAAAAGCAAATGTGTGTGCGTGCATGTGAAGTCATCTACATCAGATACTGTAGTTCGAGGCACGGCTTCAATCCATGAAATGCATTAGTTTTTAAGACGCCCTGATGATATTTCCTGCTTTAGCTGCAACACACCAACTTATAACACATAAACCTTAGGTGTGTTGTGCAAGTCATTTCTGACGAATGACAACCCTAAGGCAAATCTACCACTGTTTTCTTGGCAAGGGGGTTTGCCATTGCCTACCTTTGGGGCTGAGAAAGTGTGACTTGCCAAATGTCACCCAGTACATTTCCCAGCTTGAGCAGGGATGTGATCCCTGATCTCCAGTTTCAAACATTGTCACTCAATCATCACTCAAGCTACTCCACCATATGGGTTTTCACATAAGGCTTAAAGTCTACGGGCCCTTCCACATAGCCATATAACCCAGAATATCAAGGCAGAAAATCCGCTTTGAACTGGGTTATCCGAGTCCACATTGCCATATATCCCAGTTCAAAGCAGAAAATGTAGGATTTTATTCAGCTGTGTGGAAGGAGGCTCTGACCCCTTCTACACTGCCCTATATCCCAGGATCTGATCTCAGATTGCTCCAGCAAAGGATCACCACCTTATCGTGGCGCTGGAGCTTGAGCACCTCAATGATGTCATGAGCAAAACCGTGAAGATTATCTGCTTTGAACTGAATTATATGAGTCTCCATTGCCAGACAATATGTGATAAACTGGGATATAGGAGCAGTGTGGAAGAGTCCTAAGAAATATATAGCAGCAATATACCCTTAACAGAGGGTACATCTATACTATACAATTAGTGCAGTTTAACAGCACTTTCACTCAATGCTGTGGAACTATGGGAGTTACAGTTTTACAAGTCCTTTCGCCTCCTTTGTCCAAGAATACAAATGCCTCACCAAACTACAACCCACCCACCACCCAGGATTCTATAGCATTAACCCATAGTAATTAAAGTGCTGTCGAACTGTATTAATTCAACAGTGTAGATAGATGCCTTCCTGTATAAAGACCCTAAGTCTCAACACTTAACCCAAACCAAATTATTTAGGAAGATGCCTTCTCTCCTCACTCAGCCCATTCATATATTATTTACAAGTGCATATCCATAAACACAAATATACACAAAGAGAGAGAATAAAGTTTTGCTGCTTACCATGATGACTACAGGCTCTTCCTGGCTCTCCCACGTGGAATCAAGCCCCAGCTCCCACGTGATACAATTTCTCATTGGCCAGAGCGTAAAGCCGTTTCTCATTGGCCAGAGCATAAAGTCATTTGCCCACAAGAAAGATGGCGGAATGTAGCAAGCCAGTGACACAAATGGCGGCGGCCAAACTCTCGCGTGAGGAGATAAAAATGGGTTTTCCTCTTTAATAAGGGAATGGAAGCGTATCGGACATTCTCATTTCGATCTCTTTCACAGAAAGTCATTTTTTACGGGCGTCAAAAATTCCCTAACCAACCTCTCTAGCCAAAAATGTCTGCCAAGGCATCACTAGCGACCACGAACGGAATGCCAGGAGTGTATGCCTTCAACAAACATGGCCTCCTCCGGGCGTCCATAGAATGAATCCTATTGGTCCGTTACCCGAAAGTCTCCACCCCCTCATTGAGCCGATTGGCGAGCGACTAATAGCTGTGTTTTGATTGGTTCTTGCGGAAAAGAAGTCAAATTTCACGGTCAAAGGACCAGGAAGTACAAAGAGGTGGTTGATTTACAGATCTGGTGAAGGAGATAAAGGTTTGTCTGCAGAGCTTTTTATTTTTTAGAGTCAAGAAAGTTGTGGAGGAAGGTAAAGTCGTAAAACTCAGTGTTCATTTATACTGCCCTGCAGAGGAGGGCGACTAAAATGATCAAGGGTCTGGAGAACAAGCCCTATGAGGAGTGGCTTAAAGAGCTGGGCATGTTTAGCCTGAAGAAGAGAAGGCGGAGAGGAGATATGATAGCCATGTATAAATATGTGAGAGGAAGCCACAGGGAGGAGGGAGCAAGCTTGTTTTCTGCTTCCCTGGAGACTAGGATGCGGAACAATGGCTTCAAACTACAAGAAAGGAGATTCCATCTGAACATGAGGAAGAACTTCCTGACAGTGAGAGCCGTTCAGCAGTGGAACTCTCTGCCCTGGAGTGTGGTGGAGGCTCCTCCTTTGGAAGTTTTAAACAGAGGTTGGATGGCCATCTGTCAGGGGTGCTTTGAATGCAATATTCCTGCTTCTTGGCAGGGGGTTGGACTGGATGGCCCATGAGGTCTCTTCCAACTCTGATTCTATTGCAGAATTAATGCAGTTTGATCCCACTTTAATGGCCATGGCTCAGTGCTATGAGATCCTGGGAATTCTAGTTTGATGAGGCACTAGCACTCTTTGGCAGAGAAGACCTTGTAAAACTACAATTCTCTTGATTCTTTAGCCACGACAGTTAGAGTGGTCTCGAACTGTGTTAAGTCTACAGTGTAAATGCATCCTCAGGTGTGAGATCTGCTGCAGTCCTTCCGAGAAGGTATAGCACCAGGTTGATTTCCCAATCGGATATGCTTAGGACCAGAAGTTTTGGGGATTTATTAGGGCTTTGAAAACCTTGTATTCCCATATACGTACATAAGATGGGAGCCAGGTTAAAACCCATGATCATTTATATTCCATAGATCCAACAAAAACAACAACATAGATACCTTATAGATATACCCTAGAGCAGGCATGGGCAAACTTCGGTCTTCCGGGTGTTTTGGACTTCAACTCCCACAATTCGACTGTTAGGAATTGTGGGAGTTGAAGTCCAAAACAGCCGAAGGATCGAAGTTTGCCCATGTCTGTCCTAGAGGGTATTTTATACACAATACTAGCATAGGTACTTGGTGATGCCCAGGTTAGGTGATGTGTAATGCTATTTATTAGAAAAAAAGTCATGGTTTGTTTTTGGATTTTGTGAATGCTCCCATTAAAAAATGAATAAGGATGTGGGTAAACTACAACTCCCATCATCCCTTCCCCCACAAACTCTGCCGGTATACACCATTCACCAGGGTCCCCAAACTAAGGCCCACGGGTCAGATGTGGCCCTCCAATGTAATTTCCCAGGCCCCCATCCTAAACTTTCGGCTTAGGACCTTCCTGGTTCTGAAATGACTTGAAGACACATAACAACAACAATCCTAACTAACTTGATTATCTCATCAGCCAAAAGCAGGCCCACACTTCCCACTGCAATACTAGTAAGCTTCTGTTGGTCAAAATGGTTCTTCATTTTAAATATTGATGCTTTTTTGCACAACAAATAAGATATTTGCAGTGTGCATAGGAATTTGGACATCACAAATCTATGGTCAACTTCCAGCAGAATCAAAACAGAATTGTCTGGACTTAGACAAATGTCAGATGTGGGTAAATGAAATTGCGGGTATCAGTCCCACAGATACCAGAGTCATACACTGTGTGTGTGTGTGTGTGTGTGTGTGTAGAGGGAGAGGGAGAGGGAGAGTCAAGAGAAGAAGGGGAGGTCAAAAGATGAATACAAGAAAATGGGGTCATACAGGTTTCATTTCAGATGGCTCCAGCAAAGGACGTGGGACCAGCAGAAATATGTGAGGAGTTGGACCAAGTTATCCTCCAGCTTTTTGATGCTCTTGAGATGCTCCAGAACAAGAGGGAAGCCTTTAACAGCTTGGTAGAACAGGTGAGACCTTGCTTCAGGTTTTAGAGCTGGGTATTAACTAAATCTGGGCCTCCTGGTGGCACAGCTGGTTAAATCGCTGAGCTGCTGACTGAAAGGTCAGTGGTTCAAATCCTGGGAGTGGGGTGAGCTCCCACTGTTAGTCCCAGCTTCTGCCAACCTAGCAGTTTGAAAACATGCAGATGTGAGTAGATCAATAGGTACCACTTCTGGCCCCTTCCACACAGCTGAATAAAATCCCGCATGGCACTCTATGCAGTCATGCTGGCCACATGATCTTGGAGGTGTCTGTGGACAATGCTGGCTCTTCGGTTTAGAAATTGAAATGAGCACCCCCATCCCCCCAGCATCAGACACAATTAGATGTATGTCAAGGAAAACCTTTACCTACTAACTAAATATAGTTCTAGATTTGTATGGGGTTTCCCCTCCAATTGATGAAACTGGGCATGGCCTTCTGTCCATTATTTCTAATTCTCTGATCCCACCATTTTGGGAACTATGGAGCCCACATCTTTCTTTGGAAACCCAACTCGCTCTTTGAAACTGCCTTTGTGATTCTTTCACAGAGTATCCTAGGATTTAAAAAACTGTTTCTCAGCTTTTGATTTTTGCCTCTCCAGGGTTGGTTCTGTCTCTCCAAATCTCGCTATGCTATGGGCAACAAGTCTGTGTCTACCCTGCAGTACGGGCATCAGATGACTCCTCTGGTTCGAGTGAGAACTTGGTAAGGCAGAATTTGAGGAGGTTCAAATAGAGAGGCCATGATTTTTGCCTGTTAGGTTCTCATGATTTTCATCTTTATTCCATTGATTTGTTTGGTAAAGATCTAAACCAAAACAGATGGTTTAATTGTGTCCTGAAGTTTTAGACTATGGCTTCTATCAGCCGCAGCCAGCTGTGGGAGTTCTAATCCAAAATGCGTGTATATGAGAGTTGCCTGCCTAAACCAGATGTTGTTAAATACAATAATCTGGAGATTATTCTGGCCCCTTCCTCACAGCTGAATAAAATCCCGCATTATCTGCTTTGAACTGGAATATATGGCAGTGTGGACTCAGATAACTCAGTTCAAAGCAGATATTGTGCGATTTTCTGCCTTGATATTCTGGGTTATATGGCTGTGTGGAAGGGCCCTCTGGGAGAAAATCAAAGCAACTGGAAGACTTCATATAAATAGGCAATCTATTTGAAAGTGTTATTTCCCATTTGACTGTGTGCTTCTTACTTTGAAAGTAGTGTTTATACTCCAGAAACTTCATTTTTATGACTGTTTCAAACTATGTTGAATTCATTGAGGCGCTTATGAGATATTCATTGAAAAACTATAGAAAATGTGCTGAAGGACATCCCACAAAAACAAAGTTTTTGCAGTTTAATAAACCTTTTCCATGTTTTTATGCTAGAACCAAAAAAACGGAGCCCCCGGTGGCGCAGTGGGTTAAACCCCTGTGCCGGCAGGACTGAAGACCGACAGGTCACAGGTTCGAATCCGGGAAGAGGCGGATGAGCTCCCTCTATCAGCTCCAGCTCCTCATGCGGGGACATGAGATAAGCCCCCCACAAGGATGATAAAAACATCAAATCATCCGGGTGTCCCCTGGATAACGTCCTCACAATTCTCTCACACCAGAAGCGACTTGCAGTTTCTCAAGTCGCTCCTGACACGACAAAAAAAAAGAAGCTAGAATCAATTAGGAAATGACATTTATAATCCAGGAACAAAAATTGTGTTACCTGTGCTCCAAAGGATGGATTATTAGCAGGTGGTGTGTTGAGACTTGTATTGTGGTCTTTCTTTGCTCAATCCAGTGAGAAAGAGAAGGATCAAGTGGAGTTTGATGTGATCCAAGAAGATGCTCTCAAAGCAAAGAGTGAAACCGAAATAACCGTGGAAGATATTGGCCCAAGTGATCGAGGTAAATGACAGAAAGATTTTGGGAATTTCCTTAGTGTGGGAACTGTATACACTTAGCTTGATGCTGTGTTCAGTATCAGAATATGAGATCTTATTGTTGGGGGAGCCTTGATGGCGATGAGGTGAGAACAATTATTTAAAACAGAACATTTTAAAAATATGATACATTAATTTTTTTAAAAAAAAAACTCACACTAATTTGTAATTATGTATTGTCAAAGGCTTTCATGGCCAGAATCACTGGGTCGTTGTAGGTTTTTCAGGCTGTATGGCCATGTTCTAGAAGCATTCTCTCCTGATGTTTCACCTGCATCTGTGGCAAGCACCTCACAACCTCTGAGGATGCTTGCCACAGATGCGGGCGAAATGTCAGGAGATAATGCTTCTAGAACATGGCCATACAGCCCAACAAACCTACAACGACCCAGTAGTTTATAATTGCCTTTGAAATCAAGTTAGGTAATGAAGATATAGCAAACCCATAGGGTTTTAATTCTTTGTTTTAAACAATAGACCAGGCACGGGCAATCTTGACTGTTAGGAATTGTGGGAGTTGAAGTCCAAAACCCCTGGTGGGCCAAAGTTTGCCCATGCCTGCAATAGACCATTAACTCCAAGTAATATCAAGCATATAATGTGAATATTTTGCAAATGCAAAACTCTTAAGAAAGCAAAGAGGGTGTTGGCAGTGCTTACAAAGAATTCAAGAAGATTTTTCAATTGTATAAAACTTGGCTATAAGGAATATTGGATTCAACACCAATCTTTCTTCCAGATATGAATCTTTAAAAGAGCAAAGCAATTTGCTCCAGAACCTCTGGGAAGATATGTTCACTTAGTTCATGACTTCAGGCCTATATCTTGATCTGAATGAACAGGGCCAAACCTTCAATCAATGAAGATGCAGGAGAAAGGTTTTGGATATCATGGAAAGTTAGCTGTCTGAGGGCCCTTCCAGACAAACCCTATATCCCAGGATCTGTTCTCAAGTTTTCTGTTTATCTCAGATTATCTGGCAGTGTGGACTCATATAATCCAGTTTAAAGCAGCTAACCTGGATTCAGATCCTGGGATATAGGGCCTGTCTGGAAGGACCCTTAATCAGATTTGTGCATCACTGTATTTTTATTGCTAGGGATACAGGAGAGGTGCTTACACTTTCTCCCTTGAGTGCTAAGGTTGGTGTATAACCTCGGTGAATACTGTATGTAAGGAGGGGCGGCATCAAAATTTATTGGCTGCCCTTGTATATCAAAGCCATCAAGGATGGGACTGCAACTAAAAGAAGTCTTGAAGGGTAATGTTTCCGTTCTCCAGTCCCCCTTATCTTGAAGGTATTATTTTAACGTTTTCAGTTCTACGACAGCGGAAGGGCCCGAAGAAAGCAGAGAGCTCAGACAAACCCCAAGAGGCCACCTCCCATCCAGCAGAAGGATCAGGGAACCAAGACCCCTTGAACTGGTTTGGGATTCTTGTGCCCCAAAGTCTCCGTCAAGCCCAGCGAACTTTCCAAGAAGGTGAGGAACATGGCGGCTGCTAGCTACATAAAACCATTATCCAGCCACAAATGAATACTTTAACCCCCTTTCACCCTCTCTCCTGTTCTAGGGATCCACTTGGCTGCAGAAATTGCCTCCTTGCAGAGTGAAATAGAGGCCTGTCGGAGACGGTACTGTGCATTGCTAGAAAGAAAACGTGACCTTGTACCGAGAGAGAGCAGAAGCTATGAGCAGCTAAAACCATCTCTCAGCTGAGATCATAAAAATACGCATTTGGGAATTTGTTGAGAGTTTTCCCTACAAAGTTCCCATTTGCTCTGTATGTCTTGTATTTTTATTTATATATAAAGTTATGCTGAATAATAAAGGGCCTTCATAGATGACCTTGTTTATAGAGGTTCATTTCAAGCTGACGATCAATCCTGACAAGACAGAGGTCCTCCAGGTCAGTCGCCCGTCTGAACGGTGTATTGGGTGGCAACCTTTGCTGGATGGGGTTGCACTCCCCCTGAAGCTTGGGGGTCCTCCTAGACTCAGCGCTGACACTTGATGTGCAGGCGTCGGCAGTGGCCGGGAGGGCCTTTGCACAGTTAAAACTCATGTGCCAGCTGCGACCATACCTCGTGAAGTCTGACTTGACCACGGTGGTCCATGCCTTAGTTACCTCTAGACTGGACTTCTGTAATGCACTCTACATGGGGCTACCCTTGAAGACGGCCCAGAAACTACAACTTGTCCAATGCTCGGCAGCCAGATTAGTAACTGGGGCTAGTTATAGGGAGCGCTCGACTCCTATGTTTAAGGAGCTCCACTGGCTGCCATTTATTTTCCGGTCCCAATCAAGGTACAAGTCATCATCTACAAAGCCCTAAACGGTTTGGGACCCGCCTACCTTCGTGACCGCATCTCCCTCCATGTACCAACCTGGGCCCTTCGATCTTTGGGGGAGGTCCTCCTTTCACCCCTACCAATCTCACAAGCCCGTCTTGAGGGAACAAGGGGAGAGAGCCTTCTCCTCTGTGGCTCCCCGACTTTGGAACTCTTTACCTGGAGAGATCAGGAAAGCCCTTCACTAGAAATGTTTAAAAAGAACCTTAAAACCTGGCTCTTCCGCTGTGCCTTTGGTGGTTAGGTGCACACTATGACATTTTGCACCCCCCCCCCCCAAACGTTTTTGCTACTGGAACTTGCGTCCCCCAAATGGGATGTTTAGCCTCACAACTCTATGTATTTTATGAGTCTCCCATAAATGTCCTGCTCCTATTTTATCTCATTTCAGTCCTTTAATTGTTTTTATCCTGTATATGCGGCCCACCCATTGTTACCGTTATTGTGATTGTGTTTATTAGAATGTTATTTTATGACTGCGTTTTTAAATGTAATTTTGATGATGTTGTTGTTATTTGTTGTTTATGTTTTGATTTTCTTGCTGTAATATGTTGTCCGGGCTTGGCCCCATGTAAGCCGCTCTGAGTCCCCACAGGGGAGATGGTGGCGGGGTATAGATAAAGTTTATTATTATTATATTATTATGTGGGTGTTAAAATTGGAGAGTCCACATAATTCAGCAGCTGGGCTTTCACTTTGCCTTAGTATAAATGCTCACAAATAAATCTTCACAATTATATATGACAGATAAAGAAGAAGGAAGTTACAACCCAGTAATACTTGAAGGGCAATAAGATCACAGCATGCAATGGATAGCCGGTGTTTTCAGAAGAACCTAGTCATATATGAAGCAACAAAGATAGCATCTTAGAGTTGGAAGACACCTTGTGGACCATCCAGTCCAACCCCCTGCCAAGAAGCAGGGAAATCGCCTTCAAAGCACCCCCGACAGATGGCCATCCAGCCTCAACTTAAAAGTGTCCAAAAAAGGAGCCTCCACCACACTTTGGAGCAGAGGGTTCCACTGCTAAACAACTCTCACAGTCAGGAAGTTCTTCCTAATGTTCAGGCAGAATCCCCTTTCCTGTAGTTTGAAGCCATTGTTCTGCGCCCTAAAAACAGCAGAAAACAAGCCTGCTCCCTCCTCCCTATGATTTCCTCTCACATGGCCATCATGTCCTCTCTCAACCACCTTTTCTTTAGGCTAAACATGCCTAGCTCTTTAAGCCACTCCTCATAGGGCTTGTTCTCCAGACCCTTGATCATTTTAGTCACCCTCCTCTGGGTACATTCCAGCTTGTCAACATCTCCCTTGATGTAAGATGTCATATAGTTATTTAAAGCCAAGCTTCTTAAACTAGGGATCACAACCCCAAATGGAGGCACCATAACTTTATGTTGAGGTCGTGACAAATTTGGAAGGGCAGAGTGCTGACTTAAGGTATCTATATGGATGCTTTCTTATGATCCTTCCATCCTCACATGTCCATCTGGTGAAGTAAACGGGATGGGGCCTTTATAGTGGTTGCCCCCAGATGGTGGAATTCTCTTCCCACAAGCGGAGAGGATAAGATACCCTCCTTCCTTTAGCCAGCTAATATGTCTCCTTTTTATTTAAACAGGCATTTGATGTTAGGTTGTGCTTTTAATAGAAGGCATGTTTGCTTTTCTATCTCCATTATTTCTTTTTCATGGTCGATGTATGATTGAGAACCAATTTAATTTTATTTCATCTATTTTGTAATCTGGTTTCTAGAGCCATCTTTTGTAACCTTATAAGTTGCCTTGAATCCCTTAGTTCAGGAGACTCATTTGCATTGAGGGCAACATCAGCCTTAGCGTTGTCTTCAAAGGACTGTTGGGATTTATATTTTTATATAGTGGTTGGTGCTCCTTGATTTTTATTTGGGTCCCCATATGTTATTGAATGACAGCTCCCATCACTTTTAGATTATTCACTATTCAGGCTGTGAATGATTGCAATTGAAACCCAGTAGCATTTGTGGAATGTCCAGGGGGCAGAGAAAGAACTCTTGTCTGTTGGAGGCATTCTTCAAACTACAAGAAAGGAGATTCCATCTGAACATGAGGAAGAACTTCCTGTCTGTGAGAGCTGTTCAGCAGTGGAACTCTCTGCCCAGGAGTGTGGTGAAGGCTCCTTCTTTGGAGACTTTTAAACAGAGGCCAGATGGCCATCTGTCGGGGGTGTAAATAAATAAATAAATCTGTTGGGGGTGCTTTGAATGCAATTTTCCTGCTTCTTGACAGGGTGTTGGACTGGATGGCCCATGAGATCTCTTCCAACTCTATGATTCTACAGTCGTTTCTACCAAAGGAACGTGCCACTTTTACCTCATTAACTTGCTCATGATTAATTGGGATCAGATCTAAAAATACTGGGTCCTGTAAGCTTTATTTTGGGGCGGGAACTGGCAAAACTATCTCTGAGTACTCCTTACCTAAGAAAACTACATGAAATCCATGGATCATCATATATCAACAGGTGACTTGAAGGCACATACATATACACCTGCCTACCCTCAGTCTAGGGTAAATGTTGCAATTGGCCACCTTGATTAGCATTCAGTAGACTTGCAGCTTCAAAGCCTGGCTGGTTGCTGCCTGGGGGAATCCTTTGTTGGGAGTTACCCTGCCCTGGACATTCCACAAATATATAAACCACACTTGCCTAGTTTCTAACAGACCACTCAACCTCTGAGGATGCCTGCCATAGATAATAATAATAATAATAATAATAATAATAATAATAATAATAACAACAACCTCACAACCTCTGAGGATGCTTGCCACAGATGCAGGCGAAACGTCAGGAGAGAATGCTTCTGGAACATGGCCATAGACCCTAGAAAACTCAGAGCAACCCAGTGTATGTTGTATTCTTATATATAGACTTTGGTGGAAGAAGCATACCTAATGTTATCCCATATGGTATAGCGGTTAGGATTTCCTGGTCAATGGACTTGCAGCTTCAAAGCCTGGCTGATTGCTGCCTAGGGGAATCCTTTGTTGGGACTTACCCCACCCTGGACATTCCGCAAATATATAAACCGCACTTGCCTAGTTTCCAACAGACCGCTCAACCTCTGAGGATGCCTGCCATAGATGTGGGCGAAACGTCAGGAGAGAATGCTTCTGGAACATGGCCATAGACCCTAGAAAACTCAGAGCAACCCAGTGTATGTTATATTCTTATATATAGGTTTTGGTTGAAGAAGCATAGCTAATGTTATCCCATATGGTCTAGCGGTTAGGATTTCCTGGTCAATGGACTTGCAGCTTCAAAGCCTGGCTGGTTGCTGCCTGGGGGAATCCTTTGTTGGGACTTAACCCACCCTGGGGGTTCCACAAATATATAAACCACACTTGCCTAGTTTCCAACATACCCCTCAACCTCTGAGGATGCCTGCCATAGATGTGGGTGAAACATCAGGAAAGAATGCTTCTGAAACTTGGCCGTAGAACCTAGAAAACTCAGAGCAACCCAGTGTATGTTGTATTCTTATATATAGGCTTTGGTTGAAGAAGCATAACTAATGTTATCCCATATGGTCTAGCGGTTAGGATTCCTGGTTTTCACCCAGGCGGCCCGGGTTCGACTCCCGGTATGGGAAAACAGTGCTTTTTAAAAAGACCCAGGAAAATAATCAATTAAAGCGTGAAAAATGATAAATTTTGGAAGCAGATTGACACTTTAAAAGATTGGTCAATCTCAGTTGTATGTGTGATTTGCAAATAGAATTGCTCCTCTTCCTGCAACTCCCCTCAATGGCTCTTTTGTGTGAAGCAGGCTAGTTTGGGATATTCCTGCTCCTTCTTTCATTTGCTCTAGCAACCAAACTGGTTTGATCCCAATGTCCTCTATGTTTTGATTTCTCCCCTTCCTTTCGTTTCCAGCCTGGTGAGTCTGAAATATTAGTGTACATTTGAAAAGCAGGAAATATTTGAAGCAAAGCTTCTATGTATTATAAGAAAATATAAAAAGTGCAATTCCTGCCTATTCCTGTAGGGGGCAACAACAACCTGAACTCTAGCTTGGATTGGGCTGCACATCACTCAGGAGGCGCTACAGCCCTTTCCCATATGGTCTAGCGGTTAGGATTCCTGGTTTTCACCCAGGCGGCCCGGGTTCGACTCCCGGTATGGGAAAGACTTGATTTTTATTTTTTAAAAATAAAAATAAAATATTTTTAAATTAAATTTCTGGAATAACTACTAAATGGTTGTTTAGTGGAATGGGGAAAAATCCTGTTGATTTTAGGAAAAGTGTTCATGCATGCACTCAAAACATTTTCCTGCATTCAACATACATCTGCAAAATTATGACCTTCCCTATTTTCAATCAAAGTGTATGAATATGTGCTCACCTATCGATTTGTGGCGAACAGTCGATGAATGTTATAGAGGTTTTTTAAGGCAAGGAATAATCAGAAAGAGCGTCTTTCCTACAGCACCTGGTATCAGTCGGTGGTCTCCC